GAGCTAGGGTTACTTCCGTTCGATCATGTGTCCTGGTGGATATGGTGATCGCATTATTTTTTTTTTTTTTTTTACTAATTGTGTTTGAAGTGCTGAGCGTGTCGAAGCGAGCGAAGAAACGTGTTTGCAGGGGTGAAAGTTTTGAAAGAAGTGTTGACAAAAACGGTTAGAGTTTTCCCTTGTCTGGTTAATCGCTGATTGGTTCTGAGTACGTGAGATGCGTGGGTTAATAAAGCTAAATCCATACAGGCGTCTGCCTGTCCGCTGATCGTCTGATTGTCCGCTTATAGATCAATTACTATCTACGATGAAATTTTCCAAAGTTAACGTACATTGACACGTGGTACAACGACAATGTTAGAATTTCTATCTGATTGTATCCTTAATGATAAAAATTGAAAAAGGGAAAAAGGTTATTGTACGTATAAATTTACAGAAAACGAAACATTTGGTTTCAAAAATATTCACTGCAAAATTATGCTACGATCATTGGTTGATCATATCATAGGAATTGTCCAAGTTGTTCATTGATTTGACATGCATCATACCAGCAATATTATCGTATCACGAGATCGGCTTAGTGTACGGATATAGAAGTAGCAAGCAAACTTCGGCGTTTGCTTTGGTAACAGTGGTAGTGCTTGGTTTCGGATACTTCCGGTTTCGAAGGATACAACAAGGATGGATAGAAGTTGCTGAAAGGAAAATATAATACAAGTTCGTAGTCAGGTAAGTATGGAGTTTAGAAGGTTCGTTAGTCAGTCTATATGAAACATAATCTTCGCAAATGGAGTAAAAATTATGAAGAATTGTAACGATGTTTACGTAAAAGCTGAATTTTAACGAAGTTGGAAGTCGTGTTCCCGTTTTATAGCAGATGATAAATGTTACGTACTCCGTGATGAAAAATGGGAATAAACAACTAATCACTTGTATATACATCAAACAATTTTTCATTCTTTATTTTAAATATTCTAAACAAATTTATAAAGATTACGCATAAATTTACTTCTGCGTATTACGATCTATAAATTGATACTTTTCGCAAGTTGAAATATATATCAAAAATTAATACGAAATTGATAAATCCAAAAGCAGATAGCGTACTTTTGTATCTTTTCTTTCGTAAACGAATTTTATAGTTTAAATATATTTTCAAGTGTATTTGTTAGGTGTGTAAATGACGCTGATTTATTAGTTGAAAAAAAAGATGAATGATACGACGAGTACTACATTCGTACCATTTATTTTCAAACAATACTACGGTCATGTGTATTTAACAATTGTGTTACTATTTTTAATGGAAATGTACAATTGTTTTGACAATTGACTTTTCCGAAACATTGTCACGAAGCATCCTCTATAAACCTCCATTCACCTGTCCCTTTCAAATTGTTAATAACAAAAAAGTATTATTTTTTTATTTTTTTCAGTCATTTATATATTGTAATGGACCTAGTTGTCTGCTAGAATCTTTGGTTTAGTATTGAACACATATCCTATTTATCTTTCTTATATGTCGAATGTTTGTTATATGTAAACTACTGTCTTATGACCTATATGTGTCTTTTTGTCTTTAACCTGTATTTGTTATTATAATACCTTAACTTATATATGTATATATAATTTATACTGTATATTATATAATATATGTATATCCATTTTGTGTATTTACAGGGACGTATTTGTTAGACTTGCTCGACTATGGAGTCTGTGTCTGTTTAGTTCTACTCTTTCATGCAGAAGGCTCTTTAGGGTTGCTTTGACGAAGTTTGCCAATTCCCATACTGCTTTCTCTGTATCCGCTGTTAGGATTTGCGTCAGCTCTCTGTTCTCCAACCACCTCGGTCTAATTTCTTTGTAGATTTGGACATTTAGTTAGAACATGATTCATATTTTCCTGCTCTACCTCTTTGTATAGTCTACATTCGTAGATTTCTTCTATTTTGTATTTGCACTCCTTTTCGGTTCTTGTAACCCAGTCTAACTTCCCGAGTAATCTTGCTTGTTCGATAATTTGCTTCACTGCAAGTGGGATGTTCATATTCGTCTAATTAAGTTTCTCCAGTTCATTTTTACTAATGTTTTTATACATTTTGCCATAGAACGAGTTTAGCACTCTCCTTCCATTCTTATCGCGGAACTTTTTGCAGATTTGTTCAGATAGTCCTTTTTGTGTTTCTACTCGCACCTTTATATTTAATAGGTTTACATTTTCTCTATCGTACCGCTGTAACTTAGTTTCCAGCTGGATGGCCCAATTCCTCCTTTCGCCTGGTGACTTTCTGTTTAATAGTATCAGTTTTTCCAAACATCTTCTTGGGTAGCTTTGTTCTGTCATATTTGATATTTTTGTCCACTATTTCGTTAGCAAGAAAAACGTAAATCGTTAGCAAAAGCTCATAGAAGACTTTCACGCTAATAAAACCGAAGAACGCACTGCAATCGTGCCATCTCATTCCACGTTCCACTGTCATCGTTTCCATTATCGCGCGAATTCAGTTCTCTTTTATGAAAAACAAGCAACCGCTCCAACAAACCAGCAAACTGCCGCGAACTCGACAATGAACAACATCTACTTGCCAAGTTTCATTAAATTCAATTCCATTAGAAGCGCCATACGCGCCAAGTAATCGACTGTATTGTCGAAAACGATCGGTAGATGTTTACGCCTCGAATCGCGCGCAACACGACGAAATCGATAATCCAGGTCGTAAGAGAACAGATACTGAAGATCACCCTTAACCAGTCCCTTTCACTCCCCCCTTTAACCCAGCGCGAGGTCTCTATGCAAATGTAATCATATTGTTTCGCGAAATGGCACGCCAAGATTATCCTCAATAGCAGCCCGCCGTACAATGCTTAAGTGATGTAGCTGTTTATGAAGTGCCTTCCAAGATTTGCATATCGACCAAGTGTGTGCGGATTACGCGTTTCTCTCCCCGTCTTCTATATTCCACGAGACTCGCGCTCTTGCGCCGTGTGAATTTGCATCCCTCAGAAGCAGGTAGGTTAAGGCAAGTACATTTACCAGAAGATGACTAGGCAAAGTAACGCACGTCTGATTGGTTATTTCGCTCTGATCACTGGATACAATTATGCAACGATGAATCTAGTACTAATTACGAGAAAGTATGATAATTATTGTCAGCTATTATAAAAACATAATTAATTATGCGTGTATCTATGATCGTTGCTTCGATCGAGCGAGCCACATTTATAGGGAAAGTCCTTGTAGAAATATAGCTTAATTTAATTTGTAATTACTACTGCAAGTAAAAATTAAAAAATCGTTTATAATTAATTCACGCAACACAATTAGTTATATTTGCGAGCAAGCATTCCCCTGGTTATACGCTCGTTACTTTATGTATTATACTAATGAGAGGCGTTTTGCTTTTATGCTCCATATATTTCACGAAATTTATATGGAATAACATTCCATTGAAATATACCACAACGAAACTAGCGAAAATTATTTTTCATTGAAATATTCGACGATAAAAGTACCAGAAATCATTTTCAATTCATATCCACAGCTATATAATACGCAGCCACGACGTGATTTTATCAAACAGCCACAAATCTACGGCACAGACAGCATCATTGTGGCGCACAACAATGTGGCCCCATTATATTGTCAACACTGGCATTAGCTTCATCAAGTACAAATATATCTCAACACCTGTCTATTCAGCTCAACGGCAATTCGTAACTTACGATGCGTATTATTAAATTTCAGCTTCTATTAATTGACATAATTATCGTCTAATCTTCTACATATATAATTTAATGTACCAAGATTCTTATTTAATTAGCACACTAACAATAAGAGGATTTAACGATCGTGGGAATGAAAAACAAAGTGTATTTGAATATTCATTTGGAAATAAACTAGCTTGAATGTAAAATAGCGAAATTATATTTGTATTGTTTCATAGAGTCATTTCGAACCGAAGAGCTTTCTGGCGTCACAAAACAAAGTGAATTGAATAAATTACCTTGCAACTTCTACTACAGTTCTACTATTTCAGTATCAACTACTTTTGAACTGTTAATCATAATGTTTTCTTTTTTTAATTTATTCTCCTTCTATTAACGAATATAAATCGATCACTTCAATCACTTTGGTAGTTAGAATATTGAATACAAAATCGGATAGAACAAAAACGACACGGTTTATTAACGAAAATTTTTCAGTTACCAAAGTTAACAAAGTCAAGCGATTAAAAATTTCCTTTCTCATATCCCAAAGGAAGATAACAAATATTCCTTGTAATTACCGTTTCGTGGTAAAAATAGCAAACGTACTAAAATATTTCGTAATAAAAATAATATAAATAATCCTCTACTTGAGCATTTTTCGGATTCACGCAAAAGTACAATTTTACGATGAAAAACAGAGTGAATGTACATTTTTGCGAGACGTACGGCTACGTCTTGGGTTATTCATCGGAGAAGTTCGATACGGAGCCGAGTGTAAGAAGTTTAAACGTGGCGAGCTTATCGCGCCGCGGTTCCCTTCTTATAGTATTTTTCCGTGACTTATGCGAACACATATCGGCCAGTGATCCAGCATTTTCGCGCCGAGTGTCTGTAAACCACGCTATCCCTGGCAACTTTATAAAATATCGGCCATTTCAACTTTTCCTACGTACTTGTACCACCGCGGTTTCCAGGTATTAATCGCGTTATAAAATTGATCACTGCTACGCTCAGGCCGCGAAAATCAACTGCGAACGAGCATCCCTTACTTTGGAAAATTTTATAAAACCTTGTACGATTATGTTCCGATCTAACAATATTCCGCTCTTTTTTAATAATTTATTTCGCGTCTTTTGAGGTTGTTTGGAAATATTGCAAATTAAAATGTATCGTTTTTATTCGCTGATGTACAATACGACGTCCAATCATTGATTATCTATTTAATTGAATTAGTAATATTCTGTAATTAGTCTACAGTTAAGGAACTTTAATTACGAAATCTTTATACTATTTACCTATTTTGAAGATGGAACGTTCGATCGAGGAACTTCCGAAGAAGACAGCAGGATCACGGTACCAACGGTATTTCAATCTGTAACAAAAATTAATCTATAATTAGTGACAAGAAACACTTACATAGAAAAGATCACAATGACATTTTTACGACCACTGTAATTCCCATATCTCGATCTTCCTAATCAACAAAATATTAGAAAAAATGTAAAAGAAATCACAGAATATTTACAAACGCTTCGTTCCGTCATTCGCTGTTCTTGTGATCCACGGAATGGATCCATTCACGGATATCGAAAATGTCATAGATGGAATGTATACGCGAAAGTGCTTAATCGCTGCTACAAAGTGCGGATTTCAATCGACGGAGAAGCTACCGATACCCTGCCGTACCTAATTGGTTCTGATCGATCCGACCCTCGTACTAATTAGTAAGGACGAGTTGTTAACGAGCCTGCCCCGTCGTTTGGCTTCAGAGTAGTACCAGGTACAGCCGGCGCGTACGAGAGCAGAGGAAAACGACGAGGAAAAGAAGGAAACGCGGCTGGGCGGAAGCGGGTGTCGCTTCGGGCGAGAAGATGATTCTACAGAGCGATTCACGTGGTTGGAACAAGCGTTTTTCGCTTCCTTCCCCCTCCCCCCCCCCTTTCTATCTTTTATTCCCTTTATGTTGTCAGCGGAGAAGAAAGTTTAGAAGAATATGTTTGGAAGGAAGGGGTGATTTCTGTTTCTCTCTTTTGCAATGTCTGTTCGTACACTTTTGTAGATTGCATTTTTCATAAAAATTTCTCTTTTGGTACTCTGTATATATTCCGTTTTTAGTTTCACGTAAGTGGACAAAAAATTTTTCTGGAAGAAAACATTAAGGAGATGATTTGAAATATTTCTTTTCTGACGCTTCTTGGTAGTCTGGGTTAAATTACATTTCTCGCAAAAACTTCATTTTTGTGTTGCGCGTTCTTTGCTCTCGCGCGTGCATAAATGGAGAGGAAATGGTAAAAAAAATGGCGAAAGGGGAAAGAGCGAGTCAAAGATGTTTTTACAGGTTAAACTTTTCACGAAAATGTCTTCCCCGTGCTCTATACCTCTTTTGCTTTTATTTTGGTGTAAACGGAGGAAGATAGTAGAAGAAAATATTAGATAGAAGCAGTGACTCGAGAATTTTTTAATAGCGTACATTTTTCGTAAAAATTTCTGTTTATCCTTTCGTGTCCTTTCTTTTTTCCAATTCTGCGCACACGAAAAATATCTTTTTCGCTAATCTTGAATTACGTGCCCGTAGTTCTTTACACATCCAATATTTTCATTTAAAAATTTCTTTCTTGTATTTCGTGTCCTAAATGGCATTATAATTTCTATGCTAGACTCGACAAATACTATTTTTCCGGGGATTTTAAGAATGGACGGAAATGTATAACGTAAAAAACAAAAATGTCGAGAAATGAAACATTCGAACGTTTCGTGATTTTACACTTCTTTTTGTCTCATTTACATCGGCAAAGTAGGTTTGTAATTTATTATAGTTTTTTAGTTATTGCATTTACGCGTTCGTTTAAGTATCCATCGCAATAACATTGTCGTATCTTGAATAAAAGATGAGGTGTTACCACTTTGAAAGGTACTCATTACCTCACTATTCTACCCTAATATCTTTACACGCAGAAGGGTAAAAGGAATCGATATATGGAAAAAAGGGATACATCAATCAAGCTAAAGGAGTAATTTTTCGAGATTTTTCCTCGCGCTGTTACGAAGGAAATGGGGTTAAAGGAAGTGGAATTTCCTGAAACTATTCGGTTCTTTAATGCGCTACCAAAAATGACGTACGACTCGTCTAGTCGCTGCGTGACTGCAGCTATATACACAACGAAGTGTAATTTTTCATAACAAATATAATATAAACCACGAGAATATATCTTACGAGTCTGACTTATGGCTTCAAGTGGCAGCAATGCATTCGTGAAATATAATAATTACACATTCCTGGTTTAAGTAAAAGAAATCCAATTTTTTTCACCACTTACGTACAGCAACTTCCAGTAATTTTCTGCAATCTCGACTTAATAATCATTGATATTGCAGGGTAATAAATAGAAGAAATACAGCAAGATTGAATGTAAATAATATTCTATATATTATAAGACAGAAATTGTGATTCAAAAATTCAAAAATTGAAGTTTCTTCAAATTTTAACTCGAGATAGATAGTCGAAGAAAATGTCGAAAAATTTTGACGAAGAAAAGAAAGTTGAAGGATGGATTTTTATCAGTAAAGCGATAAAGAAAAGCTTCTGGAGAGAAAAGAAGGTCAATCTAATCGCTGGCAATATAATTTCTATTAAGATCGATGTCTCGCTGGACAATTAATACGAGGCTATTTTCTCAGTGCTATCTGACGCATAAATCACAGCCCAACGTACTTGCAGATCTTAACGTTCGATTAAACCGAGGGCACGCAACTAAGTACACCGAGAAAGTTTGTTTAACGTGAAAGTGTCCCAGGTCTTTAACGATAAAACCGGCCGACGTGGAAATTGTTTTCGGGCAAATTTGTTTTTATGGACGTGAAAAATCGCTACTAAAATACAGCCCATCGTATATTATAAAACAATTAAGTATTCATAATCGTAGAACAGTAAAGTTAATGCATCAAGGATATTAAATCTTTAGTATTTCGAACAATGAAATTGAAATGTTCAAAAAATTCAAATCTCCAGATTACTCTACTATATTCTTGTTAGAATCGTGGAATTAATTTATCGAAAAATTGGGGATATTTAAAATTTGTAGGGGATTGAAAAACGATCGGGATATTTAAAATTTCAACCACGGTATTCATATTGAATCGGGATATTTAAATCGGAAAAATATGTTCATAGACCTGCGACACGACTATTTGTTTCGTTAATTGCGAACAAGTAATTACCAGTCAGCAACACACTTGTCAAGATAATTCGAGAGGGCTCGTTGTGCGTTTAATGCTAGCAAATGGGATCAGCCGCTTCAATTATCCTGGCGACACGAGTCGAAAAAGCTTGGCTTGCTGCTCATTAACAGGAATTAATTATTCGATGGAACATAAACCGATTACCGATGACGAGAAACTTACTTTACGAGGGTTCTACAACATTTTCATTCTTTTCAAATTAAACTGTTTGTAAAAACTGACCGATTTCGTGATCGAAAATCAACGAGCAAATGTATAATGAGCGAATGAAAGAGATTTACCGATTAAATAGTTAATTTACGATATTTTCATTTAAGCAGAAATCAGAGGTAACTGGAGAAATATATGGACGAAAATTACGAAGGTTACGAATAGAATTGATGGAGGAATAATCGATATTAATGAATCTCAAATTCTGTTTCACCGTGACAATATTCGATCGCAAACAATGAAGAAATATTAGATAGAATAAAAAAGTGTAATTGGAAATTATTATGGAAATTATTACGTCATCCATTCTATTCTCTGTATTTGTTGTTAGTATCGACAAACTTTCATTTATTTCGATCGCTATAGAACGATACATGTAATAGGTTATTGTCAGCACCGAAGATGTAAAATTGATTTGGTAATAACGATCGATTATCTATGTTTAGAATGCATATATATAGCGTGCTCGCTGAAATAGTATATTTAAGTTTCCTTTTCGTATAGCTACGAATATTTAGTACAAGCGCATCCATCGTATCTTTTTTTAACAGTAGGAATTTTTAAAGGACGTAGATAATATATGAAAAAAATATTCAACGGAGGAATTAATAAATTATCAACGTTGTAAAATATTGGACGGATATATCGGAATATGTCAGAAGTGAGAAGGTTGCGTTTAAATTAAATCGTCATGGTACAAAACGCACTTGAACATTTTCAACTAATTTGAAAAATCAATTTGTTCGATTGGTTCGGCTAATAAACAACCGGCAACTCGATCGAAAACTTTCGCCAACTATTTGGCTTCTTTACGGTAACTTCGAGCACGCTCGTGATTTTTCTTCTTTAAAAGCCACGAGTCGGCTTCGTAACCGCTGCCAATGCGCCGTTTAATGCTTTTTCCTCCTTTTTTCCCCCCCGTTCCTTTACCGGAAATAAACGGAACACGTAATAAGAAGCTTTCCTCGTGCAGCTTGCGGCTCACACGTCGTAGTTTTTCCGCGGTCGGTGGCGCAGTTACTTGGGGATTTTGGTAATTAGCCAGGACGATATTTCACTAACTGTTACCCGAAGGAAAGTTTAATAACTGGGGCTCAGTTCGAAATCTCTCTAAACGATTTTTCAACTTTCAATAACACTTCCGCACATTTCCACATCTATATATCGAACATTTTCTGCGGATTAATTATTTGCGATCTAATTGAAATAACATTTCGATGGATAATTTTGATCTTTTATGTACGTACTGCATTCAATGATTTTCGAGCTGGTTTAAACTTTCAATCACACTCCCGAATATCGTGAAACCTGTGGATTAAAAATTCTTTTAATATCCTTCGTCAACCGATTGACAAACATTTCGCTGAATAATTTGCATTTTTCATATATAGTACTATATAACGTGCAGTACTGTGTGTCCGTAAATTGTCAACCTAAATTAAATTAAATTAAATTAAATTAAATTAAATTAAATTAAATTTCTCTAGTCACTTTGTACTGTTATAAATTATTAATTGACTAAACAATAAATATATTTGCTTTTGATAAAGCTGCTCTCAAATTTTAACATGTACATCGCATCTTTAATAACCAACTGAGAAAATTGCTATTAATAATTGATAAAGAAGATCGTTTCTTTCACAAACGAGAATATTCTATTCTGAGTAAATTAACCCGCGTTCACGAAAATTGATAGATATTATTCGACGATTATTACATCGATTATTACAACGATTTTTCGGCGATGCATAGAAATAATTCAAGAGGCGACGAAACGTCGGCAGTTGCGTTTGAAAATAGACGTGACTAGATACAGAGAGAAAAAGACAAGCGAGCAATGGATTCTGGTCGATTTGTCGACCGGCAGTTTCCCGTGGACGTTCGTCAACCTCGAGGATAATTGCTGTCAAGTAAAAGGGGCGC